CAGTGGCATGTAGAATTATGTGTGCAAGTTCATGTGGTAAGGATAATAGACCTTGGAATACACTAGGACTGCTAACGGCTGCTTTACATACTAAAATATTTTACAAGTACACAAAAAGGTTACAAATGTACATGGCATGAACACCCACGGCTTTATATAAGACCCAGGTTCCATGTCACATGCAGACTATGGAAGCAAATACACATTTGCTGCTGAATATTATGTGTTGTTTCCAAATTAATCACTGCTGTTGTAAAGGCAGAAATTCCAACAGTAACTGAAAGACTTTTTCTGAAGAGTATACTGGTATAGGGAAGTATGCTACCTACTTCCATCAAGAGTCAGGAGAGCTGTCCAGATGGTCGCTGGAAAGACAACCAGACCGAACATTGCCTCAAATTGTGGGAGTGTTAAGCCATAGATTTGTTGATCAGGCAAGAACATAGAATTGTAGAGTAGGAAGGAACCATGAGAGTCATTGAGTCCAATCCCCTGCAAGGGGGCCCAAACTGGGGCTTGAACCCATGTCCCTGAAATAGCCATCAACACCCTGCAGCCCTGTTTGGAATTAATCTTCATGAGAATAACATTCAGATGAGAGGCTGCACCCATTGGCCTTGTAGGGCTGCACCCTACCAACCTAGCCCCATCATCCACTTGCTGCAGGGACATGTCTGTGGAGGAGCCTGTTCTCAGTGCACAGTCTTGCTGCACAATCATGGTTTTAAGTCTGAGAGGGAGTCTACTCGGGTAGACCAGGCTCCTTTCTACAGTTTGCCCCCAAACAGGGCTCCAAAAGAGAGGAAATTTCTAATCACAGTGCTCTTAGTAGTTGCTGAACTTACAACCAGGGCTGAACTGTCTCCTGTCAACATCCTATTTCAGAAATTATTCCAATCTATCCAACTCTTGCAAAACTTCAATCTGATTTCTGAATGATTGCTACCCGTATCTCAAATATAAATAAGGCTGTTCACACCCTTTCCAGACATTTCTTCCCTAAGCAGTGGGCCAGAAACTCCTGAACCTGTATTACTGGAATGTTTGCCTACCTTACAATTGCCACACATTACATTGCCCCAAGTCTTTTTCTTTCTTGAATTGTCCTTAAAAGATCCAGGTAGTTCACAAATCAGATTTCACAAGTACAGAGATGGGTACTGGAATGCTAATACTGGGGGTATGATTTTTGTTTGTTACTATGGTATATATTTTTGTGTTTTTATATTTTAAACTGCCCTGTGACCTTTGGGAAAAGGGCAGTATAGAAATTTACATACATACATACTGGAATATAAAATTGGGCATCCTGAAAATCTCTTTTTTCTTTTTAGAAACAGTAAATATAATGCCTAGTGAAACCTCTGGTATGAGAGAGCAGTGAGCAAGGTTTCTGGTTACCAATAGGCTTATATAATGTTTTGTCCCTCCACTAACTAGTGGAAGCAAGGTAATATACACAAATCAAATGTATAAAAAATTGCACTGTCACAGAATTTAGCTTTCCTTGACAAAGAATATGGAGTATCAGTACCTACTCTTTTCTTTTCCCATAATTTTATTTTTAAGTGAAGAAAATACAGAGCTCTGGATTACTGGCATGCAGGGAAACATAACTTTGGCCTACGCTGGATTTTTTGTTCTAATGTGGGTGCTTTCACTGATGTTTTAAGGCAGGAGTCTGGTACAAGGTGCAAGACAAGATTGTTCTGAAGTATCTACCAGAACAAACTTGAATCATTGCCAAACTCAGGATGCATGTCCTATTCTTCCTGCACTACACCCAACCAAATACACATTATACATACAAAGCAGGTGTATCAAGTATATACCTATTAAAAAGCAAATATTTGCTTTAGATGGCAGGAAAAGCAAAAGAATGATTACATTGGTCACCTTAGTTTGCTTACAAATGGAAAACATTGACCAGAGAAATCTGGTTTAGCCACATCACCCAAAACATGTTATACAATGTATAACAGATGTGTGCATGCACATACACATACACTTATTCAATTTTTTAATCTACTTTTTATCTTCTTTCCGAACAACTCAAGAAAATATATTTTGACGAATGAAGCAAGATACACCTATATCTTCTACTTCTATTTCCCCCAGTTTCCCCATGGCAGAAACCCATGAAATAAACACTTTAGTTACAATCACCATCAAACTTAATATTTCTCGCATTCTAGAAACTTGATCATTAAAACACCACCATGTGTCAAGCATTATGATCATGCCTTTTTTCTTTTTACAGTTTCACAGCAGTAATTTAATTTGAACAATCATTGTTCTCGGGAGGTTAATCAATAATATACATTATTGTCTAATTCCTAGAATAGGTTAATATTGTTTCCTGCTTTTAGGCTTGCTCAAATTAGAAATCAAAATGCAGTTTATTTTGACAGAATATGTAAATTTCTAATTGCACCCATAAAAAACCCAAGGCATTTGTTTCCTTTCTTCTCATACACACACACCTTGCATATATAGCAGACATGGGGAAGATGTGCCTTTCCTGGTGTTGCTGAGCTATAATTTCCATCATCACTGATCACTGGTCATGCTGGCTGGGACTGATGTGAGTTGGGGGGTTTAACAACATCTGGAGGATCCCTAGTATATAAGCCGCAGAAGCCTCCCAAAACTTGGTGCCCTCCAGGTGTTTTGGGCTGCCAAAACATCAGCCTCAGCCAGCAAAGCCAACAGTCAAAGATAATGGGAGCTTGAACTGCAAGTTGGGGATGGTCGATATATAAAAGTAAAGGTAAAGGGACCCCTGACCATTAGGTCCAGTCGTGGCCGACTCTGGGGTTGCGGTGCTCATCTCGCTTTATTGGCCGAGGGAGCAGGCGTACAGCTTCCGGGTCATGTGGCCAGCATGACTAAGCCACTTCTGGCGAACCAGAGCAGCGCACAGAAACGCCGTTTACATTCTCACCGGAGCAGTACCTATTTATCTACTTGCACTCTGCTGTGCTTTCGAACTGCTAGGTTGGCAGGAGAAGCGACCGAGCAACGGGAGCTCACCCCGTCACGGGGATTCGAACCGCCAACCTTCTGATCGGCAAGTCCTAGGCTCTGTGGTTTAACCCACAGCGCCACCCGCATCCCTGGTCGATATATAGGCTGCATTTATTTGCATGGGAAGCTGCCTTAAATCAATTCGAACCACTGGTCCATCTAGCTCAGTATTATTTACACTGATTGGGAGCAGCAGTTCTCTGGGGTCTGAGACGGGGATTATCCCAGCTTTACCATTAAATGCCAGAGATGAAATTTAGGACCTTTGCTCTAACACTGAGCCATGGCCCTTCTTTTTATTTGGCAACTGTCTTTTGAACTGCCTTGCGTGTACAAATGCAGCAGGCAGGACAGATAGTACAGCACAGAATGGCAACCCCTGAAGCTTTTAAATTGGTATCTATTTGCCTTAAATAGCCTTAACAATGTACATTTAATATATATTTAACATTAAATATTTAAGGCTGCAGTACTGCTTACACAGTGCAGTTGCTTAGATCCTAGCGACCTCTACAGCCACACTTAGAAGCCTCTCTAAGCAGTGGCGTAGCGTGGGGGGTGCAGGGGGGCCGGCCGCACTGGGCGCAACATCTGGGGTTAGGGCAAATCCACAGGTTAGGGGGCGCAAATCCATGGGTTAGGGGGCGCAAATTACTTGCCTTGCCCCGGGTGCTGACAACCCACGCTACGCCACTGTCTCTAAGCACACTGAACAACAGGCTAGAAGTAAACCCACCATTCAGGTGGTGTGTATGTGTGTGTTTTTAAAGGCCAGCTCCACAATGAACCCAGAAAAAGGAAGAGAAAAGAATAGAAAGGGCTCTGGGACTGCAAGCCTCTGGAAATTCCAGAGCAGCATCCGCAATATGCCTTTCACAGCTACACAAGCTGACCCAGCCACCCAACCTGTGAGAGTTGGGGAGACAGTCAACTTCAACAAGAGGCGCCCCTTCCAATAATCCCAATTGCCCAATGGGATTGCAGGAGCAACAGCGTCTTATTCTCTCCCCCGCCTGCCCTCCAAAAAAGAGGAGTTTGCAGAATCATAGAGTTGAAAGGGACCATGAGGGTCACCTAGCTTAACCCCCTGCAGTGCAGGAATATTTTGCCCACCACCCCTGAGATGAAGAGTCTCAGCTTGTAAGGTTTCCAGCTTTCCATCTCACACCCCCTTTTATGCAGTCCTACTTCTCCTTGGTATTCCAACTGGGGTGCCAATGGGGGACAGATATATATTGCATACAAATTCAATAAATAATAATATCTGTGAACCACCCGGAGACCTCTGGGTATAGGGCGGTATATAAATTCTAATAATAATAATAATTGGGGTGCAGGTATATATTGAATATAAATTCAATAAATAATAATATTTATGAAACACCCTGTGACCTCTGGGTATAGGGCAGTATATAAATTCATCCAATCAATCAATATAAGCCCTGCCTGGTATAGTTGGCCACATGGTGCAACACACACACAAACAGACAATTTGAATGGCAATGTCCATCAACTTTGGGGTAGGGGCTGGCCCCTAAAATATTTTATTTGGGGAGGGGCAAAGGGGCCTTGGCTCCTAGGAGTTGGCTGCTCTGTATCCCATACCAGCAGGACTATTATGTGAGCGTCATCTGGGGGTGGTTTTCGAGTAAGACCAACATGGCAACCTGTGATTTTTATTTTATTTATTTTTATCTCTCTCTCTCTCTCTCTCTGTGTGTGTGTGTGTCTACTACTGACTATCCCACGAATTCCTCAGCGAAGTCTAAGACGTTTCCCCATCCAAGAAGGGAAGCCTCCCCTCAGAGCGCCCCCCCCCAACACACCGTAAACTATTTAAAAAGAGCATTTTCCCTCACAAGCGGGGAAAAGCTGCCGCTGCCGCTGCTTCTCTCTTTCTCGTCATAAAGGACCCCCCCCCTCACACACCCCGACCCCTTCCTCCAGGGTCGCGGCCACGACGTCACACTCACTGTGTAGCCCGTGAAGAAACCGTTGGGAGGGGGAGGGGAAAACCCAACGGCGGCGGCGGCAGCAGCACCTTGACGACTCCTCACAACTCTCCCAATTCCCCGGGGCGCGCGAGAGAGCGCGGCTCGGAGTGACAGACGGGCGAAGAAAGAGGTTTGGCCCACAGGGGTACAAGGAGAGGCGGGGCTTGAGACTTCGGGCCAATCGCAGAGCGGAGGAGAGGGCTGGGGGGCGGGGGTCTCACCGGAGGTTTGAAAGGTGCGCCGGCGTGAGGTTTCGCCCTCAGTGGCCGCAGGGCGTTGGCCGCTGCTCGCCAGCGGGAGAGGGGGAGTTTCGTTGGCCGAGTGTCTCAGGCGCAAGAGAGCCGTGGTCTCTCTCTCTCTCTCTCTCTCTCCATGGTTTAACCCTTTGTAAAGAAACGGGAATGCGAAACACGTGTCTCTCCTTTCTGAAGTGCCCCGCCTTTGGGTGCTTCAGCACTCCTGTTGCTTCAACCGGTACAGGACGCCCGCCTGTCATCATCCTCTGTCTATCAGATCCGGAACGAAATGTCTCAACTGTTTGTAGAGTTGGAAGGGACCCGAGGGTCATCTAGTCCATGCAGGAATCTCCGCTAAAGCATCCATGGCAGATGGCAGTTTAAATCGCTTTCTTTTGACCCCAAGTGCTCAGGAAAATCTGTCAAAATCTTTCTACAATGTCTACTTTTAGTTAAGTATTTTTATTTATTTACTTGATTTTTTGGAGGGGGGTAAGCGGCTCCCCCCAGCAACGACCAATGTTGCTAGGTCATCTGGCCTCGTTTTGCAAGGCCCCCACTACCCCATTTTGTGTGCGCACGTGCAAATACATATAATATATATATATATATATATATATATATATATGCAGGTTTTGGTGTCCTCGGGTGTCTTCCCGTGTAAAAGTTGGGGTGTCTAGGCGACGTTTCGACGAGGTCTCACTCGTCATCTTCAGGCTGGTGCTTTCGGCTTCTTGTTACTGGAACAGAGCGGGATCTCAGTGTTTGAGTTCCTATAAATACTGTTGAGGGGGTGTGGTGTATAGCCTCCAATGTTCTGGGCAGAGAGGAAGTTCCCAGGCTAGTGTGCCTTTTCTTCTTTTGTTCCTTAATTACTTGAGGGATATCTTGAGTGATTTCTTGAGTGATATTCTGAGTACCACTTAGGTGGGTCATTAGGTGTGGATTAGTTGCTAAAGCCTTCGTGTCTTGACCTCTTGAACTTTGTGAAGAGTTTTTCTGAGAAGATGGCTGTACTGCACTTAGTTGTGCTCTGGCTTGGCTTCGTGTATAGGGGCGAGCTGTGGTTTTGTGTCCTGTGCCAGCGAGATCTGTGTAGGGATTGCAGGGGGGTGCAGCATCCGGAGGTGCCACTATGGTTTGGCTACTGGATGGTGTCTGTAATTTATCTGTGGAGAGGGTCTGGGTTTGGGTCTGGTGTGGTTGATTGGTGATGGCGTTCTGTGTGCCTCTGGATCTGGTGTCGGTTTTTGTGGGGAGGGCTAATTTCCAGATGTCTGGCAGGCGGGATGTGTCGTCACGCTTGTTCATGTTGTGAGGGTGTTTCTCTATCTCGATGGCTTCCATGATTATTCTCTTGTGGTGATGTTCCATGTTAAAGAGCAATTTGGAATCTGCAAAATTAATTTCGTGTCCTGTTTCTTTCATGTGTTGGAAAAGAGAGGAAGTTTTTTCTTCTTTTTTGACGGCATTCTTGTGTTCTGCGATACGTGCATTTATTCGTCTGTTTGTTTGTCCAATGTACGTGGCTGGGCAGACTTTGCAGGGTATTTCATAGACCCCTTGGTTTTCCAACTGGATTTTATCCTTGGGGTTTCTGAGGATATTGGCTATTTTTTGGTTGGTGCAAAAGGCTGTTTTGATATTGTGTTTATGGAGGATTTTGCTAATTTTATCTGTAGTGCCCTTGATATAAGGAAGGAGGGCCATGCCATTGTTTTCTTCTGTGTCTTGGTTTTTGGGGGGTGTTTCTTTTTGGATTAGCTTCGTAACCCTGTTTTGCTGGTATCCATTGGCGATTAACACATTGAGAGATTCTGTAACTCAGTTGTCAAGTGGTCTTTGTCAGCCAGGCGTTTGGTTCTGGAGATGAGAGTCTTGGCTACGGAGTTTATTTGTGCAGGGTGGTGGTGTGATTGTGCATGTAAGTAGCGGTTGGTGTGTGTTTTTTTCCGGTAGATAGTGTGTCCTAGGGAGCCATCAGGTTTTTTGTAGATTAGGACGTCAAGGAAGGGAAGTTGGTTGTTGGCTTCTATTTCCATAGTGAATTGTATTTTGGGGTGTAGGCTGTTGAGATGTGTGAGGAAGCTATCTAGTTTTTCCTTCCCGTGTGGCCAAATTACAAAGGTGTCGTCAACATATCTGAGCCAAAGTTTGGGTTTGTGTTCTGACTTGTCTAAAGCATTGGTTTCAAAGTGTTCCATGTACAGGTTTGCGATGACTGGTGAGAGTGGGTGATCCCATAGGTGCTCCTTCTATCTGTTTGTATCTTTGTCCATTGTGGATGAAGTACGTGTTGGTTAGGCAGTGGTTGGTCAGGTCCAGGATGTATTCGGGGGGATTGTATTTGTTTTGAATGGCTGTCAAGGCTTCATTAATGGGCACTTGTGTGAAGAGAGATACAACATCGAAGCTCACAAGTAGGTCATTGGGATGTAGGTTTTGCTTCTTTATTGTTTCTATGAACTGGAAGGAGTTTGTAACGTGTGAAGAGATGGATTCTGCATAGGGCTGAAGTTGCTTAGCGAGAAATTTAGCGAGATTTTGTAGAGGTGAGCCTATGGAGCTGACTATTGGTCTGAGTGGTGTTCCTTCTTTGTGTATCTTGGGGAGGCCGTAGAGTTTGGGGCATCTGGATGATTTTTCTCTGGGGATGATTCTTAGCTGGATTTCTTCACTGATAGGAGAGGCTTTTATTTTGGATTTGGTGGTTTTTTCCAGATAGGTGGTGGGATCTGTTTTTATAGGTTGGTAGGTAGGGTCTTGGAGTAGATTTGATAGTTTTTGCTTGGTAGTCCGATGTGTTCATCACAACAGTGGCATTACCTTTGTCTGCTGGGAGAATGATTATGTTGTTGTCTTTCCTCAGGTTGGTGAGTGCTTTCTGTTCTTCTTTGTGTAAATTGCTTCTGGGTGGTTTGCTGGAGCAGAGGATGTTGGTGACTTCAAGTCTGATTTTATTGGCTTCATCTGGGTTGATTTTGGTTAGGCTAGCTTCGACTCCGCATATGATGTTTTCCGTGGGGATGCGTCTCGGGGCGACTGCAAAGTTGAAACCTTTGGAGAGTACTTTGGTTTCAGTTGAGGTGAGGATCCTGTCTGATATGTTATGTACTGTTTGTTTCATGGGTTGTTGTGGAGGGTGGCTGGGCTTCTGGCGTTTCTCTAGTTTGTGGAGTTTGTTGGTGTGTGTGTCTGTCTTATGTGAGGTCTCAGTTTCAGCTCTCCAGACGGCTAGTTGTTTTGCATTTGTCCCAGAGTGCAGGGTGGATTTTGTTACAGAGTTTGAGGTGAAGAGTGAGCAGATCTTTGTTGGTTTGGTTTAGTAGGTATCTTTTCTTATGTAGTTCGTTTCTGATTAGGGATAGTTCAGTTCGTTTCAGGATCCTTTCGGTAGCTGGGGTTTTAAATCTACTCCAAGACCCTACCTACCAACCTATAAAAACAGATCCCACCACCTATCTGGAAAAAACCACCAAATCCAAAATAAAAGCCTCTCCTATCAGTGAAGAAATCCAGCTAAGAATCATCCCCAGAGAAAAATCATCCAGATGCCCCAAACTCTACGGCCTCCCCAAGATACACAAAGAAGGAACACCACTCAGACCAATAGTCAGCTCCATAGGCTCACCTCTACAAAATCTCGCTAAATTTCTCGCTAAGCAACTTCAGCCCTATGCAGAATCCATCTCTTCACACGTTACAAACTCCTTCCAGTTCATAGAAACAATAAAGAAGCAAAACCTACATCCCAATGACCTACTTGTGAGCTTCGATGTTGTATCTCTCTTCACACAAGTGCCCATTAATGAAGCCTTGACAGCCATTCAAAACAAATACAATCCCCCCGAATACATCCTGGACCTGACCAACCACTGCCTAACCAACACGTACTTCATCCACAATGGACAAAGATACAAACAGATAGAAGGAGCACCTATGGGATCACCACTCTCACCGGTCATCGCAAACCTGTACATGGAACACTTTGAAACCAATGCTTTAGACAAGTCAGAACACAAACCCAAACTTTGGCTCAGATATGTTGACGACACCTTTGTAATTTGGCCACACGGGAAGGAAAAACTAGATAGCTTCCTCACACATCTCAACAGCCTACACCCCAAAATACAATTCACTATGGAAATAGAAGCCAACAACCAACTTCCCTTCCTTGACGTCCTAATCTACAAAAAACCTGATGGCTCCCTAGGACACACTATCTACCGGAAAAAAACACACACCAACCGCTACTTACATGCACAATCACACCACCACCCTGCACAAATAAACTCCGTAGCCAAGACTCTCATCTCCAGAACCAAACGCCTGGCTGACAAAGACCACTTGACAACTGAGTTACAGAATCTCTCCAATGTGTTAATCGCCAATGGATACCAGCAAAACAGGGTTACGAAGCTAATGCAAAAAGAAACACCCCCCAAAAACCAAGACACAGAAGAAAACAATGGCATGGCCCTCCTTCCTTATATCAAGGGCACTACAGATAAAATTAGCAAAATCCTCCATAAACACAATATCAAAACAGCCTTTTGCACCAACCAAAAAATAGCCAATATCCTCAGAAACCCCAAGGATAAAATCCAGTTGGAAAACCAAGGGGTCTATGAAATACCCTGCAAAGTCTGCCCAGCCACGTACATTGGACAAACAAACAGACGAATAAATGCACGTATCGCAGAACACAAGAATGCCGTCAAAAAAGAAGAAAAAACTTCCTCTCTTTTCCAACACATGAAAGAAACAGGACACGAAATTAATTTTGCAGATTCCAAATTGCTCTCTAACATGGAACATCACCACAAGAGAATAATCATGGAAGCCATCGAGATAGAGAAACACCCTCACAACATGAACAAGCGTGACGACACATCCCGCCTGCCAGACATC